CTCAGGGCTCCATGACTGCTCATCCTACACCATTTAATTTGGGGCAACTCATGGCACTCAGGGATCTGTTCACCCTACAGCATTTAATTTTGGGGGAATTCATGGMGYTCAGGGATCTGCTCATCCTACACCATTTAATTAGCAGCACCGCCTTATTGAGCAATAACTAATTAAGGCTGTGCCCTGATTGGAATCGGCCCCATCGATGGGATGGCCGGGATGGGTTCCCTGCCCTCCCTAACCCTAAATCCCCTCCCCAGGGCTGAAGGTGCGCGAGGTTTCCATCAACGTCTCGAGGCAGCAGGTGGAGGATTTCCACGGCCCCGAGGATTATTGGTGCCAGTGCGTGGCCTGGAGCCACCTGGGCACCTCCAAGAGCAGGAAGGCGTCGGTGCGCATCGCCTGTGAGTAAATCCCGCTGTTCTTGGGGTGTTTGGGGGAAAGGAGGGGTTTGGGGTTATGGGAACCGGTGTGGGGTGGCGCCGCTGTTCCCGGGAGCCTGTCTCATTGGYTGTTTTCAGTTGATAAATTTTATAAAAAAGTATATTAAAAATATTTTATATTTTTTATAATGAGGATTGTGATGAATTATCGGGTCAGAAATGAGGATTGTAACGAACTCCCCATCCCACCCCGCAGATTTGCGGAAGAATTTCGAGCAAGACCCCCAAGGCAAGGAGGTTCCCATCGAGGGGATGATCGTCCTGCACTGCCGACCCCCCGAGGGCGTCCCTGCGGCCGAGGTGAGCTCTGGGACTTAATTTGGGATGGGCACGGGGTGAACTTTGGGATTTTGGGACTTTGGGATGGACACGGAAAGCTTTGGGATGGGRAAACCAAAGGGCTCAGCTCCCTGCYGTGCTGGAGYTGTTGRYCCCATCACTCTTCTCCCCCAGAATGCTCCAAGCATCCTTYTTTTCCTTCCCAAAGTTTCCAAAAGCATGGATTTTTACCCAAATTCTGGACTGAGAAATCCYGATTTTCTGACACTTTCCAAGCCCTGTGCTCCCAAACTGAAAGCAGATCGTTACTCATTTTCCCAGGAATTACTTTCCTCCTCGAAAAATACARCAGAGAAAGAGGCGAATCTAAAAATATTGTGATAAACGGTTGCTGGGGAGAGAAAATCTGCTGCAAGTAATAATTTGGTGGGGTTTGGCTCAGCTTTAAGCCAATTTTTTTGTGGTGAAAGCTGGATTTTAACAGGAAAAATGGGGATGGTTAAAAACAGCAATAACCCAGGCTGCTCTGGGGGAAAGGGTTTGACGGGGTTGTGTTTGAAAATCTGCTGCAGAGGATTTAAAAAATTCAAGGAAATTCTGCAATTTCATCCTGCAGGTCCCCCCAGCACCTCCCGGGCTCACCGGGATTGCTCAGGATTTGGGTTTTGCCCCTTTTCCCCACCGTGGCTGGGGTTGGTGATAAATGAGGGAAGGAAAGGAGTGAGGGGGAAATGAACTCCAGAGAAATGTGTGAAAAATCAGTGAAAATCGGTGAAAAATCAGTGAAAATCAGTTAAAATAAGCAAAAATCAGTGAAAATCAGTGGAAATCAGTGAAAATCAGTGAAAATCAGTGAAAGAGAGGGGATGAGCAGGTGTTCCTGGGGATAAAGGGGAGAAAAGCAGCAAGAGGAGGTCCAGAGACACCACCAGTGAGGCACAAGCGCCAAAGGAGAGGAAAACGGGTCAGGAAGGGGCTCGGTGAGGGGCTGAATTTGTGGCCAGGTTTCTGAATTTGTGGCGAGGTTTCTGAATTTGTGGTGAGGTTTCTGAATTTGTGGCGAGGTTTCTGGATTTGTGACAAGGTTTCTGAATTTGTGGCGAGGTTTCTGAATTTGTGGCGAGGTTTCTGGGGTGCCTCTCTCTGTCATTCCAATTCCTGCTCCCGCCTTTTCCTCATTTCCCCTCATTATCAGGAAAATGGATGTTCAATTCCAGAGAATTTCCAGGAATGTTGGATTTGTGTTCTGGAGAACGGATCTGTTTTGTGGACAAAACAAACTTCCTGAGGTGTGACTGCCGAACCTCCTCTGTCTGTTTGAATTTTGCCGGGAATTTTGGATTCTTTGGAGTGGCAGCTTTACATTCCCCAATTAAACAGGGAGTTTTTCTTTTGTGGAGTTCAGGAATTATGTCCAAACCTGACATTTTAATGGTTTTCCCCATTCCGAACCGGCGCAGCTCTCAAYGAGCGCTGATTTAGTGCTGTTGACAGTAAATTGTTATTGCTGCTAATAAAGCTGGCAAATCTCACCAGGTCGCATTTGCTCAGGCCAATAAAACCCCAATCCCATAAAGGCTCGGGCTAATTCCGGGCTCATCAAGGTGAGGATCTGCTGGAAACAATCCCGTGGCTTCAGAACAGGGTTAAAGCAGCCAGAGCAGCCCTGGCTGGGACTAGGGGGATAAGCCCGGCTTTATTTCAGGGTAGAGAACAGCCTGGATGGTTTAATCATGGCTGGGGAAGGACTGAGCTGCCTTGGGATGGGTTTGTGGGTGCGGGAGGTGTCAAACCCCAACGTGTCCTTTGGGATGARGATTGGGGACAGAGTGGTTTTTTTGGGGTTTTTTTTTTTGCTTGTTTTTGGGTTTGGGTTTCTTTAGCAGTGAAAGGGCAGCTGCCTTGCTAAACGATTACTGATCRTTTCCCGTTACCGAACTGCTCCTGTCGAGTGCTCTGCAGAGGTTTGTGYGACGCTCTAAAATATCTTTATCCCATAATATATGCATATATTTAAGATTTAAACGTGCTGCATCCGGCGCCGCTTTTTCAAACGTTTAACACAGATCCTGACGTTTTAATGGAGTGCCGTAGATGTTCCCAGGAATATCTGCCTGACTTCCCGGGGTTTATTTACCGCCGGGGCTTTTAATGGAAATGTAAAACCATTTCTCTTCCGGGCAGCGCCGCGAGCGCGTCAACGGAACGTGAAACCCACATAAAACTGGAAAAGTGCGGGGGTGCTGAAAGTGGCAAGAGGGTGTTTTACACGGGTTTGGGTGTTTATGGGGCTGAAATGGGCTGGGCTGGGATAATGGGGATGAAGGATATTGGGGATGAAGGATAATGGGGATGAAGGGTAATGGGGCTGAGAATAATGGGAATGAAGGATAATGGGGCTGAAGGACAACGGGGATGAAGGATAACGGCGAGGATAAAGGGGCCGAGGATAATAGGGCTGAAGGATATTGGGGCTGCAGTGGATAATGGGGCTACAGGGTAATGGGGCTGAAGGATTATGGGGTTGCCGGATAATGGGGCTGAAGGATAATGGGGATGAAGGATAATGGGGATGAAGGACAATGGGGCTGAAGGAGAATGGGGCTGAAGAAGAATAGGGCTGAAGGATTATGGGGCTGAGGGAAAATGGGGCTGAAGGATAATGGGGCTGAAGGACAAGTGGGATGAAGGATAATGGGGCTGAAGGAGAATGGGATTTTGGGATAACAGGGCTAAAGGAGAACAGGGCTGAGGATAATGGGGCTGAAGGATAATGGGGCTGAAGGATAATGGGGATGAAGGAGAATGGGGCTGAAGAAGAATAGGGCTGAAGGATTATGGGGCTGCGGGATAATGGGGCTACAGGGTAATGGGGCCAAAGGATAATGGGGCTGAAGGATATTGGGGCTGCAGGATAATGGGCTGAAGAATAATGGGGCTGAAGGATAATGGAGCTGAAGGAGAATTGGGCCACAGAATATTGGGGCTGAAAGATAATGGGGCTGAAGGATAACGGAGCTGAAGGACAATGGGGTTTCGGGATAACAGGGCTGAAGGAGAACAGGGCTGAGGATAACGGAGCTGAAGGATAATGGGACCAAAGGTTAATGGGGCTGAAGGCTGAAGGATAACGGAGCTGAAGGATAATGGGGCTGAAGGAGAATGGAGTTACAGGGTAATGGGGCTGAAGGATAATGGGACTGCAGTGGAAAAATCAGGCGAGGTTCAGAGCCYGCCATGGATCCCGCTGCGATTTCCAGCCCTGCCCTCCCATCCCTGGGTTTACCCCACGGCCACCCCAGCACCCTGCGAGGCTCTGAACCCTTCCCTGTCCTGCCACTGCTCTGTCCAACCCCTCAGATGTGTCACTCRAGTGTCACCTGCCCCCATTACCCCACTCAGTGGCACTTTCAGCCCCGTTCCCATCCCCTCAGCAYCTCCAGGCTCCTCTGCTGCTGATTTTGTCCATTTTGCAGCCATTGGGAGTTTCAATCCCTGCACAAATCCCCTTTATTGGCCAAATCAGGGGCTGCGCTGCCTTTGGGGCAGTCAGGGGGGAGATGTGGGCGATGTTTTCTTCCAGCAGAAAAAAATGTTTGTTTTCCTTGCGAGATTTGGCTGGTGGTGAATAAATCAATACAGCCAGGAGGTAGCGRGGTCATGAAACAGAAACGCTGGAGCGAAGCACTTCTGAATTAGATTGCTAAACTGAAAAGCAAAAAGGAAGGGAGATAACTTTGTAGTTCCCCTGAATAGATAATTCCTTTTCATGCAGACATGTGCTCTGGGGCTGCTCTGGGTTTGATGTGCTGCTCTGCAGCGCTGTCTGTTTTTTTTTTTTTTTCTGGCCCTGTTTTCAGAAATGTTTTTTTTTTCATTTGGAATGCTCGAACATGAAAGGATGAGTTACGAGACGTTATCGCCGTGTTTGTGATTGGGGGGATGGGTGTGCGAGGAAATCCTGAGGGGATTTGGGGAGTTTTTGGGGATGGAGGTGGTGCTGAGGCCCCAGCAGAGGCTCTGTGAGGGCTGTGACACTGAAATGTTTGAATGKTCTGGGGGATGTTCCACCTCTGGGGACAGCGATCAACACCTTTTTAACGGTATTCCGTTTTAATTTAATCCAAAGAGACAGCAGGACTCCGTGGATCTGGCGCCTGTTGCATTCAGCATTCAGCGACACGACAAATATCACACATTTGTTAACTCACAGCTGCATTTCTGTGGATTTTGGGCTGAAATTCTGTTTCCATTGTGCACAATGAGACGATTCTTTCACAATTTTGAGGGGTGCTCAGCGATCTTTGGGGTCCTTTCCATCCCAGGCYRTTCTGTGGCTCCTGTAGGATCTCACAGTTTCGTTCTCGCGTTTGTCACATCTGACAGCTGCTGAAAAAAAGGAGCAGCACCAGGTAATAATGATCCCCAGCCCCGTGAGAACAGTGAAATTACAGCCTTGCAAGGCTTTGGTTTCAATTATTGCAGGCTTCCYGGGATGATTTTCTTATCTCAAAGCATTTCCCATAAAAATGTGATCCTGCCTATCCACGTTAGCAAAGCCCTGCAAACATCAGCACCACCAGCTTTATCTAAAAAGGGCTTTTTTTTTTTGGTTTTTTTTCGGTGTCAGCAGCGCTTTAATTACTGTCCAAATGTCAGAGAATAAGGAAAACCTCACTGCTGGGGCTCCAGGAGCTCCCTCCCTCAGCCTGGGGCTGTCCCTGACCCTGTGCTGAGATCCCAGGGTGAATTAGGATGGTGGATTAGGATGGTGAATTAGGATGAGATCCATGGATCACGCAGCAGTCAGGAAATTCAGGAGTTGTTCAGGAAAACAAAAGCTGGGGCTCAGTGCTCGCCTGTGCCGCTGAGCTCTGGAGCCCAGGGAGGAGGATTGGAGTTGATCAGTAATTCCTGCTCCACATAAAACAATTGGGGCCAGGCCTTGGGGTGTGCTCTGCCCATCCCATCCCATCCCATCCCATCCCATCCCATCCCATCCCATCCCATCCCATCCCATCCCATCCCATCCCATCCCATCCCATCCCATCCCATCCCATCCCATCCCTTGGGGTTATTAATCCCAATTTTTTTCCCTCTGTGTGTGTGGAGATAACAAACACCACCCCAGTTCATGGAAAACACTTCTTCCCCCAAAAATAGGAATGAAGTGAAGCTGTTTGGGATCTGCTGATGTCTTCACCAGGCAGACAAGGTACCATTAACAGGAGCATTTTTAGCAGTGGCTCTTTCTACCAGGGATCCAAAATAGCCCGTCTGAGTCAGCTCCTTGCCCACCTCTACCACTATAAATTGATGCACACGTCCAGGCTGTCACCTCTCCCATTCTCCTGATTCAAAACCCTATTTTAATTCCATTTTAATTCCATTTTAATTCCATTTTAATTCCATTTTAATTCCATTTTAATTCCATTTTGGCTCTCCCCCTCCCATGCTGTTCCCTCCTCTGGGAGTCCCATCAATGTTCGGTTGGGATTTCAGAGCTCAGAGCGGGGTCTGTGGTGGGCACAGGTGAGGATTTTCTCCCTGCAAAGGGAAATAAAACCACAGAAAATGTGTGTGAGCAGCCCTGGAGCGCTCAGCTGATCCCTCGTGCATCCCCTGAAAGCAGCGTTTCCCCCGAGGTTCCCTGCCAGGCTGATTGATGTGCTACCCTCGTGGAATGAGATTTTAAATCCAATGGAACGAAGGAAAAAGATGCTCAGCAGCCCCGTGCGCCAGGGCTGTGATTAAACAATCCCGTAAAAATCGCGGCAGGTAGAGCCCATTGAATTTCAGGGCAAAACCCAGATTTATTTCTACAAACCTTTGATAGCAGCTTTGAAGCCTGGCTCAGGATGATCAGACTGATCCCTAAAAGGAAAAGGATTCATTTCCACCTGAGCAGTGGTTTGAGCTGCAGCGCTGGCACAGAGAGGGAGTTAAACACTGAAGGGTTTGGGGTTTGCTCTTCAGACCCCACAGCTCAGACCCCACAGCTCAGACCCCACAGCTCAGACCCCACACTCATTCCAGACCAGAGACCTCACAGGTTCTCTGCTGCCTTCATTCCCTGTTGCTGTTGGTTATTCAGTAGATAAAAAATAATATATATATATATATATATAAAGTATTTTTTTTTTATTTTGAGGTAAGTTTTTTAAAATTTATTTTAGTAATTAGTGTATACATTTGTGCTTAGTATAYATTGKTTAAGAGATAGTTGTTTAATTATTTATAAGTATRTGATCGGTGAGTTTGTAAGGGTTATAGTATTAGTAATGTTTATAATTGTAAGTTACTTGTGTTATTAATTTTATATATTTTAATTTTTTTTTTTTAAGGTAGTTAAGGATGTGGTATCTTTCTCCTGTTCAGGCTGTTAACACTCCCCTACAGCTCCCCGCTTGCTCTGTGTATTTTTGTGCAGGGAGTTTCCCAAGGTTCTGTCCCCACCAGTGACAAACAACTTTTGTCATCACGACTCCTTTAAATGTATTTTTATCCCATTTTATCCCATTTTATCCCATTTTATCGCATGAAMCYRCCCTKGGTGGGTTTTSCAYCTTGGYGTTGGATAAACCCGGTTTGATCAGGGCAGGGATGAGGGGAGCACTGCCGTGGCAGTGCCATCCTCCCCGACAAATCAGGGTTTGGTGTCACGTCCCAGCACTTTGGTGTTTATGTTCCGTCTGTTTAATGTTCTCCCTTCGCTGGGATCATCACTCTTGGAAATGCTCTGCTCTAATGTAAATGTTTCAACGTTTTCTGTTCGCCAAAGCCCGCAGTGCCATACTCAGCAAACGCAGCAGGGCGTGCTCCTGCTTTTTCTGGGGCACCCCCGAGGGTGAGGGAGACAAAAACGGGGACCTGGAACCCCTCTCAGCACCCCAAAAACCCCCTGACCCGAGGAGAATCAAAATTTATAAACACACTTGTGAAGTAATGGACTGTGGGCACGCTGGCCGTGTTTGTCATTTCTCTGCCCATTTCGCTGCGCATAAAGTGGGTTCACCATCGAATTCCTGTCACTTGATTTATGCTCCTGCGGCTGCTCCATAATTTAAATTGAATTCCTAATTTCTTTGCTGAAACCCCCTCGGATAATTAGTATTAAGGTTAACTGCAGAAGGGGAAGTGAGCAGTGAATGGATTGGTTGGGTTTTGTGTGGCTTAGAGTGCAGGAAAAGGGAATAACGCTCCGAGGGACACTGCTCAGGGAGGGTTTGGTGTGGCAGGAACCCAGAGAGAGGGACAATTGTCCAGGGAAGAGTGTGGTGTGGCTGGAATGCACCCTGAGGAAAATTGTCCGGGGAGGGTTTGGTAGGGTTGGAACCCACCATGAGGAAAATAGTCCAGGGAAGGGTTTGGTGTGACTGGAGCCCACTCTGAGGTTTGACATGGCTGGAACCCACCATGAGGAAAATCGTCCAGGGAAGGGTTTGGTAGGGTTGGAACCCAGACAGAGGGACAATTGTCCAGGGAAGAGTTTGGCGTGGATGGAACCCACCATGAGGAAAAGCTTCTGGGGAAGAGTTTGGCAGGGCTGGAGCCCACTCTGAGGTTTGACATGGCTGGAACCCACCATGAGGAAAATTGTCTAGGGAAGAGTTTGGCATGGCTGGAACCCACTCTGGGGTTTGGCACGGCTGGAACCCAGACAGGGGACATTGTACAGGGAAGGATTTGGCGGGGCTGGAACCCACTCTGGAGTTTGACATGGCTGGAACCGACCATGAGGAAAATTGTCCAGGGAAGAGTTTGGTAGGGTTGGAACCCACCATGAGGAACATCGTACAGGGAAGGATTTGGCGTGGTCAAAACTCATTCTGGGGTTTGTCACGGCTGGATTTAACACAACTGCTCAGTCCCTGTTCCCAAACTGTGCCCAGGCTCCTGCGGGCACAGGGGAGSTGTCCCTTGGCCGGGAGGGAGCGTTGGGTGCAGGAGAACAGAGCGATGGCCGAGGGAGCACAGAGCTGAAACCTCTCTCCCATTTCAGTCTCACACTCAGGTTACTCCTCTTTGCCCAAAAGTGTCAAATAAGGATTTCACTCCACGGTCACCGTGCGGGGTGAGGTGCCCCAGACCCAGAGACTTTTCTGGGTGAGCCCCCAGCCCTTGACTGGGACTGGATCCATCCATGAGCTGTGGCGGAGGGGAACCTTCTGTCTGGCACCAGACGTAATTGGCTCTGATGGTCAGCGCTCGCAGATTTGTTTAGGAACTGGAAAATGTACAAATTGCAGCCCATCTGCGCAGAGCTGAGCGCTAATGAATGCCTGCAGCTACCGCAGCCATCAGCTCATTACCAACAACTTCCAAGCCCTTCCACAAGTTGCTAAACAAGGTTATTTATCTGAGTGGAGTGAGTGGAGAAAGGTGTTTGACTGCAGGGCAYGGCCAGAGCTCCTCCAGGGCTGGGAGAGCTGTTAAAAACCCCTCATTTTTTGGTGTTTTCACAGAACCCGTTGGTTTTATTTCTGTTTTGAATTTTGCGCTCTGGGAGCCGCAGCGTGCCGTGCCTTGGTTATTTTTCTATTTTTCGGGGAGAACGGTGCCATGTGGGTGATTCCTGGGTGCACTCGGGGGTGTGGGTGCTGAGCTGGAGGAGATAGATTGGGACACATCTCACCCAGCATTTCAGGGTTTATGGACCGTGGCACAAACACGAACGGCTCTGCTCTCGGGGTGTTTGTGTCATCCCCGGGAATCTGCTGCCATGACTTGGCTCTTCTGCTGTCAGGCAATCCCATCTCCCTGTTTCTTCTCAAAAAAAAGTGGAATTAAAAATGCTCGTTGTGTGTCACCCCAACCTGTTTTACAGAACTGGTGCTTGTTCAAGGGTTTGAACACAGAAATATCTATGGTGCTTGTTCAAGAGTTTGAATGTAGAAATACCTATGGTGCTTGTTCAAGAGTTTGACTGTAGAAATATCTATGGTGCTTGTTCAAGGATTTCAACATAGAAATATTTATGGTGCTTGTTCAAGGGTTTGAACACAGAAATATCTATCTTTTTCCATATCTACCCATGGTGCAATATAGAAAAACATCTCTTATTCTCTCTCGGCTGAGATTTTATCCCAGTTCCTCGAGGAAATGCCAGCCTTTCCCAGCTCCCAGCCCRAGGTTATCCCCACCCCAATAACACCCTCGGGGCTTTGCTGTGCTCCTCCCCTGCGCAGGTGGAGTGGCTGAAGAACGAGGAGCCCATCGACTCCAACCTGGAYGAGAACATCGACACCAGGGCCGACCACAACCTCATCATCCGCCAGGCGCGCCTGTCCGACTCGGGCAACTACACCTGCATGGCCGCCAACATCGTGGCCAAGAGGAGGAGCCTGTCGGCCACCGTGGTGGTCTATGGTCAGTGGCCGGAGGGCTCTGGGGGGCACAGTGCCCACGTCACTGCCCTGCTCTGGTCTG